TTATTACTTGTGAAATGAATTTTACAACCAGATACCTTATCTAAATAATAAAGTAAATATTAAATTTCTCTGATGACTCAAATGATAAAAAGACTTTGAATAACAGACTTGGGGTTGTGTAGGCTAAACGAGGAGCTGCTAGCAAAGCAGTAGGAAGACAAGTAAGCCAGAATGTTGGATAAAACATGAGCTTGGGAGTTGCACGGTCCTGAGTTTGATCTGAGCTCTGCTGCTTATAGGAGTTTAAGCAAGTCACAGAAATTCACCAGGTCTGAACTACATTACAGTTGCTTTTAGCAACAACAATAATAATATACAGCAGTCTTTTATACATAGGGTATACATTCCAAGATCTCTGATGGATTCCTAAAACCGAAAACAGTGCTGACATTTTATATGTCATTTTTTTTTCCTGTATGAAATTTAAGAAAATTTTGATGAACTTATGATAAAGCTTAATTTATAAATTAGGCACAATAAGAGGTTAACAACAGAGCTAATAATAAAATGGAATTCTTGTAATAGTATAGTGTCGTGTAAAGGTTATTTGAAACTTGGGAATTTTTTTTTTTGAGTTTTGAATTAATTTTACACCAGAAATAATTGCAAGTATTGGAACCCTGGAAAGTGAAACCATGGCTGAGGGGAACTACTGTATTTTAAGAAAATAGAACAAGATCAGGGGCCAACATTCTGGCAGTGGGTTTAACCAGTACCTGTGACTCCAGCATCACATATCAGAGCACCAATTCTGGTCTTAGCTTCTTTGCTTCTCTCCTAACTCTCTGTGGGGGAGCTGAAGATGGTGCAAGTGCTTGGGTCCCCGTCATCCATGTAGAAGACCCTGTTCGATTTCCTGTGGTTCTGGGCTTGGGACTGGCCCAGCTAATAGTTGTTTATGGAGTGAACCAGTGGATGGTGAGTCTCTTCTTTTTGTGTGTCTCTTCTTTCTTTGAAAGAAATAAGTCTTACAGTGATCTTCCATCTGCTGGTTCACTCTCCAAATGGTACAAGCAGCCAGGTTAGATCCCCACCAAAATCAGGAGCCAGGAATTCTTCTGGATGTTTCATGACAGCAGCAGGGGTCCAAGCATGAGACTATCTGTTGCTGCTTTCCCAAGTGCATTTACATGGAGCTGGATTTTGAATGAAACTGTCAGACTTGAACCTGTGCTTGTGATGGGTTGCCAGTGTTCCAAATGAGAGTTTGATGAACTGTGCTACCATTATGGCCCTGAAATAGAACACATAAAGTTAAAGCGTGAAGCTGTCAGTAAAAGTCAAAGCAGGAGAATGTGGGGCTCCAGGTGAGTTTAGAGTAACCTTCTTTGCACTACCTAGGTCGTTGTTCAGCAAAAGCTGATTTTTAAGAATATTGGGGCTAGAAACCTGACTCAGAATTTCACAAAGAAAACTAATTTTGTTAGTAACCCAGAACTTGAAGAAACAGACCAATGAACAATTATGCACATGGAAGAAATTGTATGTGTGCTTTAGAAGAGTACCCAAGAAAATTTCATTTTGTAAACCAGTGGTATTTTATCTTCTCACAATAGCAGCTACTCACATTTACTCTGAACTTACTCTGTGCCAAGAACAATGCTAAACATTTTATGAGCACAATTTCTTTTGCTCTTCACAACATCCACTAGGGGATCTCATCACCTGCTTTTTGTCAGTGTTGTAGGCCAAGGTCCTGGGATCCTGTCAAGAGTAGGATCGATTTCCACACAAGCATTATGCTGTTTTCTCTTAAGTTAGTACACTCAAAACTAGCATTTAACAGAGAGATCAAATAAACAGGTGTTTTCATGAATCTACTTACCATACAGAACTTTCCAAAATGAGAATTTATTACAGTTCTCAAAAACAGTCCAATTTATTTTCATGTAATGAAAGTAAAGAAATGGTATACATTGAAGTCACTTCTCAGTGTCTCAAGAGTTAAAGTATAATGTATAATTTTTTTTAATTATGTTTTTTTTTTTTAATGTAGCTTTGTTTAATATGGGTTAAATTATTTCTTTTCTGGTAACCAAAAGCAGTACACTGAGTTAAGGACTTTTAATGTTTTTACCATCATTAATACTATAGGTATGTGTTCCTACAAATGAGCATACAGGGAAAATCAGTCAGCTCATACACTGTTATACCCTAGTAAGCTTGAGTATTATCTTGCATCTGTTCAGAAGGTTATCAGATAAGGAATGTACCTCTTTCAATTTTTTGCTGGAATTAATATTGCTTTTTATTTTCTTCATGTAATATATTGAGCACATTTAAACCATACCATATGTATTATCATTTATATACGATAATCTTTATCTGAGAGCAATATATTTGGTTTGTGATAAGTGAAATTGGCCTTTCAATTAAATCTCTCATATCTTAGATAACTTCAAGTAAATCTAAGGTGTCCTTCCTTGGGTGTTAATCTTTTATGAGGACAACCATTACAGAATAGTGGATACCAAATGTTTTACTTTTGGGCCCAGTGGTGTTGTGGGCTAAAATCCTTGCCTTGGACACGCCGGGATCCCATGTGGGCACCAGTTCTAATCCCAGCAGCTCCACTTCCCATCCAGGTCCCTACTTGTGGCCTGGGAAAGCAGTGGAGGATGGCCCAAAGCTTTGGGATCCTACACCTGTGTGGGAGACCTGGAGGAAGTTCCTGGCTCCAGATCAGCACAGCATAGGCTGTTGCGCTCACTTGGGGAACGAATCATCGGACGGAAGATCTTCCTCTCTATTTCTCCTCCTCTCTGTATATCTGACTTTGTAGTAAAAATAAATAGATCTAAAAAAATATTTACTTTCTACAGTTCAAAACCTATAATTTGTAAATTTTTCTGAAAACATTTGAATATAATAGTAAGGAATACTTTGTATTGTTTGAGAACTCTAATTATGAGTTATCTTTGATTAAAATGGAAATGATCTTATTGTATAGTATTGTGATGTAAGAAAGAAAAAGAAATCTAATGCCAGAAGGCTTTTATAATAAAATTTCTGTGTCTGAAGTAATAATTGTCTAGTTAATTTAAAGTGAAAGAGTAATACTGAAATTCCTTCACTTGTGAGCTGCTCTTATTGAGGCCCTATAGTTTTGAAGTATTTTACAGTTTTTTTATTATTAAAATTTAATTCTTTCTCTTATTTCTGATTGGCTTTTCTTTGTCTTTTTCTTTGATAATTGAAAAAAAAACCTAATGGAACCAAATATAAGATGGTACTACTGTTTTCTCCTTCTTTTGTATAATCTTGTTGCGTGTCTCTACATAAGCTGTTCCGGCCACTCATCATAGTAACCAGCTGGGCCATTTCACCTGCTGGAGCCATTAAAGAGGACTCTCTCCCCCTAGATTAATCCCCTCCGACATTAGTTTTTTGCACTGACAACTGGAGCAGGCATTCAGAATTTGCAGGTGGCCAGTGTGACGTACATAATTGCCTACAATTTTAGGCAATGAATAAAAATGGTCTACATTACTTGTCAAAGGTTGTATATGCAGTGCCAAGTGAGATCTATGGGAAGCCTTTTAGGGTTTAAAGAACAGTTAATAGCAAGGCTGCACAGGGCTTTTTTAATCATAATGCATTTGTAATATAGCACTTTGATCTTCTCCTTGTAGGAAATGGTGTTACATTAGCCACTTTTAAACATTTATGAGTGAAATTCAGTTATAGAAGAGTAAAAGTGATTATTCTTAAGCAGAACATGTTAGATTTCATTAAAAGTTTTCATCTTGCCCCCTTCCTTGTTAAAATCTGTGGGAAGTCCTTTTCCTGGAGGGTTTCCAATCAGGTTCTAAGGATATAGAGCTTTTTCCTTATTTTTCCTATTGGTAATGGCAAGATTTCTAAGGAAGGTCTACTAAATATTGAGATAATTTATACAAGTAGATATTTATGGGAGAATAACTGATTATGATAAAGTAAAATAAGTTGATGAAAATCCAAGAAATCCATTACTAATAATTGTTTATTACCCTACATTTTGGGAAATGCATATTTAAAGCATTCATGAATTATCTTTAACCGGGGTGGGGGGAGGAAAAACAGATGACTCTCGAATGCACTTCTTCTGGAAGAGCTAAGTTTGACCTTTCAGACCTGAGAGCCTTTTATTAACACCTGCCTGTAAGGAGAACCTTGCCACACGCAGCTTTTAGATTCAGAACCACAAAACTGATGAGGAAAGGCTTGAAGGGTTCAGTTTGTGTCACTTGCTGTTTGCCGTTTCCATTTCACAGATGATTAATCTTTCTGTGAAGAAAGGCCAGAGAAACAAAGCGCATTGGGCTCTTCCTGCAGTTACTCCTTCTGAATGCACACTAGCTTGCTAACTAAAAGGCCTTTAGATTTCCAGCAGAGAGAGATGTTCTGAAAGTGAATGCAGCTGGTTGGAGGTCACCAGTGCAGGGCTCTTGCCATTGTGTAATGGAGGCTTTGGCAGGTTGAGGGGGGGCGGTGTGTGTGTGGGAGAAGTGGGCTGGGAGAAGGTGTTGACAAAAAATTAATTCAGAATAAAAAGGGTTTTGGTCAGTTGATTTAATATTTTGAAGGGTGGATCGCCAATGATAGGCTCAATTTCATCTATTTTGTTTGTTGTTCTTTTTAAGAAAAAAATATATTTTAGTCTCTAATATATCCTGCCCTCCCATACACATACATAACTCCATTTCCTAGTAGCATATTTGTCTTGCCTGTAACATCACTAGATAATGCTGAAATATTATTACTCTGTGTTTAGTTCTTATTGTGATTAAATTCTCTTAATATTTTTCAGGCTATTACTTATTTTGCTAATATTAGTCTTTTTATGTGATAAATTTCTAACGCAACAATATTTTATTGATACTTGTTATATTGAAAATAATTATTTGTGTTCGTTAGTTCCTTTCTCATTGAGACAGTTTTACTTTGAAAATTTGTAAATTTATAATTTTTTTAATATTTATCATCTAAATGCTCACTGTTCCTTTTGTATTTACTTACAGGACATAATGTGCAAAGTCAAATCCTGGGTTATAGATCAAAAGAAACCTGTTCGCTTCTATCATGATTGGAATGACAAAGAAGTAAGTTACAAATACCATATCATCTAGAACTGCCTTTGAATTCTTAGACAAGTTAGAGTTGTCATTATTTCACAGTTATTGTATGTAACTGACTTTTATTTCTGTCAGTGATTGCTTTTTTCCAGGCTTGTTATTTTTTTCTATGCCCCTCCTCCCCTTGATATTTTGTAACAGTTAATCCTTTGGAAACAGGAATTAGGCAAATGAAAGGACCTGCTTGTTTTAAAGAAAGTTTACTTTCAAATTATTCAATGATTGACTCCATATTTACTCAATTTTTTAAAATGTCCTCTCTCCATTTCCTATTTTAGATTGAAGTGTTGAATAAACATTTATTTCTGACTTCAAAACCAATGGTCTACTTGGTTAATCTTTCTGAAAAAGACTACATTAGGAAGAAAAACAAATGGTAAGTTTTTACTCCGCACATATACTACACACACACACACCAATCCCAAGTGTGTATATACCCTTTGACACATTTTTCCTTTTTATTAAAAAGTTTAGAATGAGAAAGCCTTGCCTGTTGTTTACCTTCAGAAATGTCTCCTGATCGATTTATTCTAAAATTACTTTTAGTTGTAATTAAATACGGCAATTTAATATTATTCACATTTGCTTCTCAATTTTCAGTTTGTTAGGCATTATCATTTATTTCTATTTCACTATGAAAATGAATACAATTGGAGCTACAAAACTTTTTAAGCTAGGGATCTCTGACAGAACGTTTATTCAGTGCTGTAATTTTAAAATCCAGATTGAAAAGAAAAGCTATAAGGGGGAGAAATCCAGATACTTGCTTTTGATACTTTCAGAGTTTACGAAGAGTTAACTATACATTCATGTATTGATTTTCATTTTTGATATATAACCAAAGTGTAAAAGATAGTTGTCTTTTACTAGAAACTTCAAAAAAAATCGTATGTTCGTGTATGTGTGGGCATGCACACATTTGGCGTTGTACTCACTTTGACTTGCCTCACTGGTTCCTCAGCATTTTATCCTGTTGAGTCATATAAGCAAATCAAAACTATCCAAAGCAAAATATCTGAATTCTCCTAAAATATATTGTTGGTTTCTCCCTGTACTTCATTAAGTACTTAGATGCACATGGTTTCAATTTTCCATTAAAAATTCTCATTTCCATATGATATCAAAGAGTGAGAAGGCTTTAAACTGAAAAATAAACATTCATAGTCTGGGAGCCAAAACAATAATTAATGTCAGATGGTTAACTCCAATAAATCATTAGAATAAATTCTGTGAAATTGCTGCAACTAAAAATGCCCTGTTGCTATTACTCTAAGACATTGTTTGTTCCTGATGGGAAGCTGCATCTTTCCCCTTTGTTGGTGATATTCTAGAAAGCATACAGTTAACATAAAAAATGACTGTCCTCCAGCAGATAATTAGCTTTAAAATAATCAGTTCTGTCTTATTTCAAATTCTTATAAATTTAATGATTAATGTGTTAGAAATTGTTACCTTGGGGAAGGAATTTTAACATCTATTATTTGACCTCAATTGATAAATCTTCTCATCATGGTAGGAATGGCAAGGTTTTCTGAAGCTTGGTGAAACAATACAGACATCAAAGTTTACATGAGAGGGGATGAGTCAGTTTCCTTGCCCAAAGGGGCTTCTCACACCTGTATTTGGATGATTACAGGTAGAACTCCCTGGCTCTAATTGTATGGTAAATACCATTTCCCAGACCCTAATGGTAGACAGACTGCTTAGGAGACGCCAGTCTGTGATTTAGCTGTCGCCAGACACCCCATGTTTTTTGTGAGGCCAGTTGTGATGATGATATGGTTATAGGCATTTGAAAGTAAACTCTTGTCTAAATAGCAAATTTTAATTTATAACAAATGAAGAGGTCTGAATGATACCATTTTATAAAACCAAATCTTAGTGGACTTTATGTATTCCTAATGATCTGGTTCGGGGTTGGGGTGTGTGTGTGTGTTGAAGGGGTAGGGGGAGATCCAGATCTTGTGGAAGTTAGTGTAATTGTAGCTGAAAGATCAAAGACTGGGTAACTGAGTGATGTTCCAGAAGAGAATTTACCACATAGCCATTTTCTGTACAGTTTCTGCCGCCTGCTGTTCCTATTTTCCCTCAAGCTAGCCATTGACTACCCCCTGTGCATCCCTGCTCGTAAAAAATGATTGAGGAAGTATTTGTCATGTATTTATGAGTGGGAAACATTGTGTGATAGGGAATGGCATCTGCTGGAGCCAGAGAGATTGCCATTTTCCTTTCATTCAGCCACTCTGCTTCAGCTTTAAATCCTCTGTTTATGCAACATAGCTTTTGTATTACAGTGCAGAATAAATTTTTATTATGAAGGATATTAACACTGGGTTTTCATTATTTATAGTACTGTAAGCAATTGTAAAGAGTTAAAATTCATTTGAAGTACTAAGTCCTTTTAATTGTGTTAACATCTTCTGTTTTGGTATTGTTTATCTCTAAACTATTTGCATTAGCTGATCCTTTAGCAAAAGAAAAAAAGTTTTTGTTTTTTTAAGGTTAAATGTAATGTTACTGTAACAAATTAAGACTGATGCATGAAGCAGTCATAGTTTCAGGAATCTTTCAGATCCAGGAAATTATTTTAAACAGTTAGGAAAGAAGAGGAGCCAGTTGTGATTTGGGGTCACAAGAGAAAGACTAAGTTCTCTATTTTGGCAAGTCACCATTCCAGAAGTAATGGCCATTTTAATTGCTGAAGTTAATTTGTAAATTAAATATATTGTTTTTAAATTCTAGTTTAAAAGGAAGCATTGTGAAAAATGAAGTTTTTGTTTTTATTGTTTTGGAGGGAAGGCATTGAGTAGGTATATTGACGTTTTGAAAGATCGACAAACCTGGTCTGACTCTGAGCGTGTAATCACTAATTTGAGCAGTGATCAGTTAGTCACTTTGTCAACTTCTGATTAAGACCAAGCCCCTGAAGAAAAGCTGGTGTGGCAGCCAGATTAGCTGCCAATGTGATGACCAGGGGACAGTAATCAAGATGTTTTGAAGGAATCCCTGGAAACTGGTTTTTATTATTACATATAGTATTTCTTGCACGTATAAAACAATTTAGAACCTTTTGTTTTTGTTTTTGCATGGATGCTTAAAGTTTTCATGTTCTAAACATGCTCACTTATTGCTTATAATTAACATAATGCTACATGAAATAGTATTTTCAATTGTGATTGCCTTTCCAGTCATAGTGCCAAGCAGGTCTGGCTATTAGAACTGCCAAGCCATTGACTAATTAGGGGTTAAATTTCAATCTCTGTATCTTTGCTGTTTTGTCAGTAGAACTTGCCATCCAGTTTTGAAATCAATAGAACATGCTATTTCAGATATTTTGTTTAGATATAATTATGTTTCATTTTTGTATTCTCTGTCTCCACTTTCTGAAACTGTTGATAAAGGATAATTTTTTATTACTTTACTACATATCTATATTCAACTGGAAGAATGTAACCCAAATTTAAGATACTCAGACTTTCACTGACTGTGTATGCCTGTATGTGTGTTAGGCACACATATTTGCATATGCCCAGATGGGCTTTATGGTTGCTGAACATTGCCTTTTGGCTAGTGGTATACGAGTCAGTCTGAGTAATGAAATTGATTCAAGACAGGTAGACAAATATTTGGAAAGTCTTTCAAACTGTTGTATAATCAAGGTCAGTATGTTCAGTAACTGAATTTTAAATAGAGAAAGATTTTGTTCTTATTAAATAATGGTTTAATTTTTTTCATTAACTTTTCAGTTTTCTACGTAATTGTATACAACCACCAATAATAGTTTAGGGATACTATACATTTTGTGCTGGTAAGTGGAAGAGTCATGGAATAGTCATACAATATTTTCTTTCGTGTATATTTTTTATATGTATTTGAATATTTTAACATATTTTCCCGTGAAATATTAGCTTTGAATTTTCTTCTTGTTTTCATAAAATGAGTTCTGCCTACTCTGTCCATAGTTTCATTTACAGAGTAAGAGACTGATATTCCTGTATTTAGGACTTCACATTGTGTTAAGAGATAATTATGGAAGAGAACACATCATTATGGTGCATGTAATGCTGTTGAGCCACATATTTATACAGGCTTATTAGGAATTTCCCCTGACCTGTTTGCATTTTGTTTTAGATTATTTATAGCCAATGATTTCTATTTGCAAGACGGTTGGCTGAATTGAAGAAAGCAATACATTTGGGAACATCAATTATTAATCATCATTAATATCATTTACTAAATTACTGATTTGTGAATGATACAATTGGTCAAAAATGTCAGAGCTTTCTTAATTTTTAGTCTAGCTGAAGAATTTTCATTCTGCACAGTCTTCTAATTTTTTTCTAATTTAAGTAAACTAAAATACTTAGTTTTTGAAATGAAAGTATCCCTTAGATTTCTGTGACGTGAGATTGAAACATATTCCCCATTACATGAATACACATCTGCAATGTAGGAAATGAAACATGAAATTTGGTTTCTGGGTTATTCATCATTCTCCAAGGTCAAAATGATTAGCCTGCCTCAGTACCCTATCAGGGGAATAATTTAGGGACAGTCCTCTTAGAAAACAAAAATGCGTGTCCCAGAGGTTAAGGACATAATCAGGTTTTGTTTCCAAAATTATGTGTTGGATGAGCCACACTTGTAGAACAAGGTTTGTTGAGCTGTGACAACAGTTGGAGATAGGGGAGAGTTTTGTAGTTTGGAGTTCCTTGGACTCTTGAGGGTAGAGGATAGAGCAGAGCTTTGCAAAGGATTTTAGAATGAGTGAGCTCTGTGTGCCTGCCTATGGCTTGCCCTAACTTTGGCTGCAAATAGCATTTGGAGAAGTGAATCAGCAGATGGAAGACTATCTCTCTGCCTTTCAAATAAAAGAAAAATGGGGGGGTTATCCTTTAATTTTTAAAATGCGCAACTTTTATAAACTTTTAAAAAGATTTATTTATATTTACTGTAGTGGCAGATTTACATAGAGAAGCAGAGACATAGAAAGATCTTCCATTCAGTGGTTTAGCTGCAATGGCCACAGCTGAGCTCATCTGAAGCCAGGAGCCAGGAGCCTTTGACAGTTCTCTCATGTGGGTGCAAGGGCCCAAGGACTTGGGTCATCCTCCACTGCTGTGCTAGTCCATAAACGGGGAACTGGGGAAGTGGAGCAGGCAGGACCAAGCCAGAACCCATATGGGATTCAGTGCATTGCAAGAGGAGAATTAGCCAGTTAACTATCACCTTGAATGCACCAGGATCCCGTATGGGTGCTAGTTCTAATCCCGGCAGCCCTGCTTGCCATCCAGCTCCATGCTTGTGGCCTGGGAAAGCAGTCGAGAATGGCCCAAAGTCTTGGAACCCTGCATCCAGTGGGAGAATCGGAAGAGG